GAATATTATCTTATTAGGTTCAACCACCAAAAAAAAAACTGCTCATAGTCCATACTCTATAGCGGGGGTTATATAGGGGATTATATAACGTTGGGTTTAGAGTGTTGGGTCTAAACTCCTTAGAGGGGGTTATTTAGGTGATGATATAACATAGGGTTTAGGGTCTAGTGTCTCAACCTCTTAAAGCGGGTTATATAGGGGAGTTCTCTAGGGGTTATTGAGGGGGATACTAGGAGTTTAGACAATAGCTCATGTGAGGCTAGGTAACTATATTACTATTGTTAGTACTAGCATTACTACTGTTATTATTACTACTGTTATCATACTAGTAGTACCATTATTACGAGTAAAAATGTCATTACTATTGCTACTGTGATTCTTTCTATTACTATCATTGGTATTAGCATGTTGTGTTATTACTACTACTACTACTACTACTACTACTACTACTACTGAACAGCTAGTGCTATGTAGAATAGTCGTTACAAGGGATTACAGAGTATCACCTAGTTGTAGCTTGGGTTTTTCTCACCTAGACGTCAGGTTTGTTACGGGTTATGTAAGCACTCTACAGTGCTTCATGGGATTAAAGCTGGTTTTGGTGTCTAGGGTTTTGGGGATAAGGGTGTAGGAGTTAGGGCGGTTAGGGATGTTACATGTAAGGCAGCAACACGTCTAATAGGCATACCAGTAGCAACTTTAATGGTCTTAGCAGGAATTACAGATGATTCTGGCTGCTATGGACCTTCCATGAAACAGTCGTCATGCATTAGGTGGACCCCCCACCCTGTAATAGTGAGTATAAGGCTATTAGGGATAATCGTGAATATATTAGGGTCCTCTTATGTTCCTAGTATACCGCTATTACGGGCTGGGGGGTCCTCCTACGTCATGCATTTCTAGCGATCAACAGGTGGTGGTACGGATCATGTGAGCTAAAGAAGAAGCGACAAGGCCTTCGCCTCGGGACCCTAAGTCCCCAAACCGTCCATGAAGGCTTATAGCCACCCTTAAGTAGATAGAATATAGCTTTGGGTGTCTTTTAATAAGATCCCCATATACCCCATATTCTATCTACTTAAGGGGGACTATACGTAGTGTTTGAGTTTAGGGTACAGGGTTTGGGGTTTAGGGTTGAGGGCCCTAAAACCTAAACCCAGAACCCTAAATCTGAGGTCGTGACCAACCAAGTCATGGGGGATCCCTCCGCTGGAATTAGTCGAGTTACTCTGGGCCACGTGCTCCCAGCCGAGCTTCCGGTTTGGCGGGGGGGGGCTTCGTCCTTTCATGTTAACAGCAAAACTTCTAACTTACCTTTGGTTAGCAAGGAAGAAGGAATGGACATTTGCAGTAGTTCCACTGGGCAATTTAAAGCGGCCTCACCCGACCTCGCCCTAAATGGTGATTGATATAGGGGAAGGTACCAAAATGGCCTTAGATTGGGAGTTGAAATGATTCTAATTTTCCCTGCTTCCATCTGACGCGCAATGATATAGTAGTTTCCATTTTCTTTTCCATTCCTTCATTCCCCGTTTACCAGACGTAAGCCAAGGAAAGGCACGAGCCAACAACAGGCTTCTCAGTAATGTTGGTGGGTGCATCTATGAGGCGTCCTCGTCGGGGATCCATACAGAGAAATCCTGGCTCATAGTGGATTGGAATTAGGGTTTGCGGATTAGGGTTTAGGGCTTAGGGTTTAGGGGTTTAGGGTAGTTTAGGGGGGTGTAGGGCTTAGGGTTCAGGGTTTAAGTAGACTGTGGGGTCCTTCTTCGGGAAACCGTTCAGGGCCCTTACAAAGTTACACCTGCATTGGCTGCTTCTGGGACAGGTCTGTTGGTAGACCGACTGTGTGAGAACTTGACTCCCTACTGGGAGGGTCAGCGGGACTTAGTAAGTAGGTAAACAATGGGGAGAACTAGGGTTACCATATGGATATGGATCATAAGGGTTATTAACCTTCTTACTAAGTCCCCCTTACCCTCCAAGTATCTACAACGAAACATAGCCCCTAGTACCAAGAACATGCAAGAGGGAAACCTCGTTCCGTGTAGAATTTCCCTTCCCCGAGACCAGACAGTAGCGCTGTCACAACAATATCAGTACCAAGAACAAGGGTAATGATACTGTAAGAAAGCAAGCATCATAGCAACAATAACAACGCCAATAATGATGATACTTGCGCGGGTGATGGTAAGACAAACAGAAGTCTGAGGCCTGAGGTAGCAAGTACAGTGATCATAACGGTCAAGGCACTCTCACCCACAGCCTGGCACGGCACAGCCTGATGACGTATAGTAAACCGTATAGTATAGTTAATCCTATGCTGCCTCATCGCCATCCCATCATGAAGTATCGCCACCCACTGCCAGAATAAGACCCTAAACCCGAAACCCTAAACCGCAGACCCTGAACCCTGAAACCTAAACAATTTCATACCAGGGAATGTCTATCTTTAGAGGAGTGGGGGCTAAGAGGTGATCAGAAATAGTGTAATTCCAAGGCAGCCCTGGCATGCTCTTTTTGGGACCTCCTTGCTGGAGATAGAGGTCCCCCTGTAATGTTGGGTCATTTTCCCTGACAGTAACTGCCTCAAAGGGGTTTACAAGACAACTGCTATCTGTTTTGGTAACTGTTATTGTAAGGCGGAATGACCCAAGACCCTAAACCCTGGTTGTTTACTAGACGAGAAGTGCAAGCTTGGCGTTGCTGCCAGGTATGGCACCACTCTGTCAACTGGCGGCTGGTGCTCAGCCACCTACCACCAGGACGTACTGTTGTGTTCGGGGTTTAAGGGTTAAGGGTTTAGGGTTTAGGGTTTAAGGCTATCAGTCTCGGTTAGGGCCTGTAGATTGGTGTAGGAATCAGGGCCATGAGGGGCTGCCAGGATGAAGGAGGTTTCTTAGATTTGAGAGTTTTGTCTGCGGTTTACTCTAGAGGAGACTCAGATCCTAAGCCTTCCGCCCCAAAGCTGAGTTCATGTTGAACATGAGGTGGGGGATGGTAGTCGCCAGAACAAATTTACTACAACAAATTATAATATACCATAACATACTACGACATAATACAATATACTGTTATATACGATATTGCACGTCCTCAAGCACCTACAACGCAGGAACCGCGGCATGTTTCAAACATCCCGTAGGTAGTGCAAGGCCTTATTCTCCATCAAGAACATTAGCTGTAGATCAAAGGGGTACCCTGCTTTTCTTACGATCCGCAAAGATCTCCGCAATTCTGAAGGGTACCCAGATTCTCCTAAACTCTTATGAAAGATATGCGACGGCAGGATCTGCCGGAGGTCTCGGAAGCAAGGAGCAAGCAGCTCCCTTCGGCCGCCGATATTTGGTCGCTAGGCCCTTAGCTCGAGTCATACGGCTTGCTTCATTTTGTCTTCCATTTTTGAGACTGGTCTATAGAGGTTTCCCCACTTGAGTTTCCAACAGCAGGAATTCTGAAAGCAGAGCACCCGCAAGAAACAATGCTTGCAAAGGGATGTGACCCTTCCTTGGAACTCGGGAATGCACTGGGTTCACCTTCAGAACCTCCCATAGAACAAGGTCCTCAAACTTATGGCATGGGACTTGGACTGTGATGTGGGCATTACATCGATGTGTTTATATATATATATATACATACACACGCAGACGTTCTTATGCAACATACCTCAGGCTGAAGGACGCGGAGGAGGCATAAGCATGCACGCATATTGTTATCAGTTTTGTGTGGGGGATTCGGGGATGAGATGTGGTTCTATCGTAGTGAAAGGGTTCCAAGGTGTCTTAGTCTTTGTATTGTTTCGTCTCTTTTTTGCATCATCTAGAAGCTTGCTTGTGTTTTGAAGATGCACATTTCAAGCCTCTGCAAGTGTCGAGTGTTACCATGAGCATACTGCACACAAGTATGTCCCCATGCCCAAAGCCCTGAAGCTTTTCATCATTTTTGGGCTTAAGAGTTGTGTTGTTTAGGTGGACCCCCCACCCTAATCGTGAGTATGAGGGATAGTGGTGATCATATTAGGGTCCTCTTCTAATCGTGAGTATAAGGGATAGTGGTGATCATATTAGGGTCCTCTTCTATTGGTGATTGTATTAGGGTCCTCTTCTATTCCTATTTACCATTACGGTGGTCCATCTAATGTATTGTCTTTCCCCAAACCCCAGACCCCGAAACCTTAAACCTAAGCCCTGAACCCTAAGCCCTACACCCAGGTTGAGAAGAGTCCTTGCTTCAAGCCCATAGCCGTGCCGCCAGAGCCCATGCGGCCTTGTGGGGCTTAGGGTTTGGGGGGTAGGGTTTCGGGTTCAGGGTTTAGGGTCAGGGTTTAGGGGTTTAGGGTTCAGGTTTAGGGTGGTGAATCAATTCTTTGGGACACCATTTGAAAATTTCCATGATTAGGGGGGACCCGAATATAGATGCAAAATATAATGTTCAATATAATGGGGACTCCCAAGAAGGTATATGGTACCCCCGTATTACAACATATCCTAGAGCTTTTGAGCATAGGGCCATGCACCAATCATGTGATGGGTGCAGCCCTAAACCCAGGGTGTTTAGGGCTTGGGGTTATGTACGTATATTATGTTCCCTTCGATTTTTTGATGATGCTGTCTTAGGTATATTGTGTTTCTGCCGTCAGCCGCACGAACCATCACTGCTCCTGGATGATGATGTGTTTCTTTTTCCTTGGCATGGGCTCCAGAAAGAAGCTTAAGCTCATAGCTCCAGCAAAGCCCTCTACACTCGCAATATTGAATGCACCCAACAGAGTACCATTGCATATACTTGCAGTATTCATGATTAGCAGGGTGGGTCAAGAAAAAGAAGGAAGGCTACTGTCTACGGTCATCAAGCAAGGCCATCCCACTTACTCACTTGTGCTTTGACGCAGAACAGCCCATGGCTGATTCGGAGAAGGGCACGGCTGATGCGGAGCCCCTCAAAGCTGAAACACCTTCAGAGGATTCCAGCAAACCGGAGGCAGTGCCAGATGACAAAGATGTGACAGTGGCAGATGCGATCTCAGCAATGGAGCCAGGGAAGCTGGAGGTAGAGGAAAGGGCCCAGCTTGCTCAGGACTGCTTCGAGGGTTCAGGGAATGGACGAGAAAAAGCTACTTACTAAAATGGAGAATTAACTAGAAAAGAACACGGACTATGACATGGAAACTACTTATCAGGGTTTAAGGTTATGCTGCGAAGGACTACTTCCAGCCTCTGGGGAAGAAGCGGAAACTCTGCGGAGCTGTCCGAGGCTTTGCCCCCGAACTCCTCTGCCATGGGCCGTCAAATATTCAGACATGCCGAAGTCTGATGCTCTTCTTGGAGAAGAAGATTCAAGCATCATTGGTTGCATCGTCGGCCCCAGAATTGCAGGGACCTGAAGACCTGAAGAAAGAGCTGGAGAAATACGCGGAGGAAGCCGGGCGTGTGAATGCCATCACGAAGCCTTGCTCGAAAGATGCGCGGATCCGGCGCATTTGGGACCTGGCCACACTATCCGGAACCCCTGAAGGCAAGGAGCTTGTGAGTTCTGCTCGACAGAAGCTGCAAGAGAAAGCCGACGGAATCAACAAGCTGTTGAAGGAGCGTGGTGAGCCGGATGTGGCCGTGCTCACAAAGCAGCGCCAAGTCTGGGCAGAAGGGCTCTTTCAACGGGACTGGCTCGCGTGGTGCGAGCGATTTCTGCAAGCTCGGGAGGCCAACCTACTCTTGGCTGGCAACCAACAAGTTGCTGGGTTGCTGTTAAGGAACTTAAATTAAGTTACCATAATGGGTATATATAGTAAATAATAGGGTTTCCCCAGTACAGTAACTTAATTTAAGATCCTTAACAGCAACCCAGGTTGAGCAGTGCCGCTCGGAGCAGCTCACAGCCGGACACATTGTAACGTCACTGCTTCAGGGATGAGCCATTGTAGTGTATAACACTATCCAGAGGAGCAACTGAAAGTAACTACCTGCCCTCGAATGTTACACACACGCACAAGCACACCCTCTGATATTGGATCTGTCCACCACCATATCCGGTCTCTTGGAGGGCATTTTTCATATTAGGTAGTGCGGGAGGTGTTGGATTTTCTGGCTAAGGGATTAAGCTGTTCAAATGGTCATGGGTAATATGATACGGAATGGTAGCAGTGCTGGAATGAGCCCCAGGCATGCTAGCAAGGGCAAAACTGGGTTGCCTACATAATTACAACCGATATGCCCTTATTATAATAACTTACATTACGTCCCTTAACGGACAACCCAGAAAAGCTAGGGCAAGAGAAGCAAAGGAAAGCCTGCGAGGGTATGAGCAGCTGGGGCGCTCCCGGCTGCAGCTAGATATGAGCTATAGTCTAAACTCCTGAAAGGAGGGGACTATTTTAGGAGTTATGAAGGGGGAAACTGGGAGTTTGGACTGCCGCTCATTTAGGCTCTGTGACCGCTCTTTGCATGTGTCATGTTCTGGCTGATGGGTGCTACAGATGAAGCAATGTGAGTAATCCCAGCCCTGGTATGCTTTTGGTCACTACTGCCAGTGTTCTCTGACCCCACAATAACCAGCAGCCAGTTTTGAAGAGCTTCGGTCCAGAGGACCTTCGCTGGATGAATCAGCAAAACAGATGCGACGGTTCCAATGCATGCCCCAAAATAGCTAGGATCCAAACCGTTCGCATTCAATATTTACAATATACTCTAATATATCCCTATATACCCCTAATATACCATATTCCATTATAATATACCCATGTCAGTGTCGCAATGCATGAGACAAAGCCTCCTGTCTGGTTCCCTAAGGTTCCGGGTAGGAAGGCCCAGGTTATAACCAATGTCCTAACCCAGACCCTGATTAATAGACCCCCCTCCCCTTGATAGGGATTATAATAGGGATCCTAAGATTACTGGCCTTAAAAGGAGAGGGTTTATTAATCAGGGGTTTACATTAGGAAGGCCCAGGTGATAACCAGTATCCTATGGCCCCGCATATAATTTTCCATCATCCTCTGCCCCCCTTTTAATTACGATTGGCCATAGCCTCTTATAACAACAACGACGACAACAACAACAACAACAACTACTACTACTACTACTACCACCACCACCACCACCACCCTGGAAAGCCCCCTGTACTTGTAGGTGTTTCGTGCTAGACCTACCTGCGGTGCATGGAGGACATCCCGCGCGATCCTATAAGACTGCAACCCCTAGGGTAGAAAGTGTATAGGGTTAAGGATATACTGGCTTGCTGTTAAGGAACTTAATTTAACTTACTATATTGGGGAAACCATATTAATTACTATATATACCCACTATGGTAACTTAATTTCAGCTCTTTAACCTAAACCCTAAGCCCTATATATATATGTACACCCTACATATACTTGTTACGGTAACTTAACTTACATTCCTTAACAGCAACCCATTCTAGGGTTGTTGTGAGATTTCCTCCATCCACCGCAAGACTCAGGTTTCTATTTCATTTCCATTTGAGCCACAATCTAAACGCCTTAAAGGCGATTTATCTAGGGGATTATTTCAGGGAGTATCTTAGTGGTTATTAAGGGAGATACTATGAGTTTAGACTGTAGATCGTTTGATTCTCCATTTGATGGTCCATTCTTCTGCGGGAATATGCCAATACACCCCTAAAATCCCTAAGCCCTAAACCATACATGCTATATGAGTTTCCGTCTTGTTTCCCACTCCTATATCCCACCAAACCCAAAGCCCTATATGTCCCTATATAGCCCCGTATAACCCATATATCCGTTTCAAAGGGTACCCCTAATTTTGGGGAACCCCCACTTGGGCTCGTATCCCAATGATACAGACCCCAAAATACTATAATCCTTGTTTGGGAAACCCCTAATGCCTAAGCCCTAATCCCTAAAGCCTATATATCCCCCTATAACCCCTTTGAGGGATACCCCGAACACTCGTATGTTTGTCAGTATAGCACCCCTATATAACCCTTTGCATATCCCCCAACCTCACTCAGGTTTGCCATCAACGAAGGTGGCCTCCGTGAGTTGGCCACTGAACACGCGGGCGCGGCAGCATGAAGCAAGTCGGAAAAAAGATTGGGCTACTTGTCATATGGGTGGTTGTCAAAATTATTGTCCCTTTTTGGGTCCCTATTATAATACGGCCCCTAATATTTAGGGTACCCAAAAAGGGACCATAATTTTGACAACCATCCATATGAGCTAGAGTCTAAACTCATTAAAAAGGGTTATGTGGGGGAATATGTCGGGAAGTATCATAGGGGCTATTAAGGGGGATACTAGGAGTTTAGACTGTGGCTCATATAGGGGCTTTGTAGGGATTATGGGTATTATAGGCAAGACCCTAAACCCTGAACCCCAAGGTCATATAGGGATTATAGGGCCATTGCCCCAAGAAATGGAACGTCAGGACTACTCGTTCACAAGCTTTCATGGACCTATGGCCTGCCAACAAATTTTCTGGGTTGCTGTTAAGGGGTCTAAATTAAGTTACCGTACTAGGTGTGTATATATATATATATAGGGTATAGATATGGTATAGGGTTAAGGAACTTAAATTAAGTCACCATACTGGGGATTCATTCTTAGGAGTTCATATGGTTAGAGTAACTTTGAATCAAGTTATTTAACTAGCAACCCCGTTGTTGATCCAAGACTTTCAGGGGCTCAAGGGATTGTTGTTGGGTTTTAGTTTGTTACACGAATGCACCTAGTGAACAGGACCATGATCAAACGATAAGCTTACAATATGAGCGGTCTAGCTGAGATAACGAAACTCAACATCCCTTTCGCTTCAGCAGCTTTCTGCTTTCACGAATGCAGGTGTCCTTCCTCCGTAGCAGATACCATAAAATTGGCAGGTTTCGGTCAAAATGGTAAAGCAACCATTATACGGCGATCCTGCCCTGGATACGGTTGGTTCTCTCGATGTTGCGTGTGTTCCAATCCGGCTGACCCAAACAAACTGCAACCCCAACATAGTTTCTGGGAGGGGGGCTAAGTTGAGCTAGTTTGACTTGTACCATGTTTTCCACGTGTTCAATTGGCGTCCCAGTAGCGATGTCGACGCAGGAGTGCATGTTTGCGTGTATAGTAGAAAGCAAGGAACGCGGTGATGCACTGAGCACTCACTTCTGTGCAGACTGCTGTGCGCGCGAGAAGGCAACGAATTGAACCAACAATAGTACGAGTCATAGTCTAAACTCCTTCAAGGGGGCTATATAAGGGATATTATAGGGGACTATTGTATTAAGGGGGATGGTAGGAGTTAAGACTATAGCGCATATCACTTTGAGATTCCTGGGCACGACCACCGGCAAGTCGAACACGCCAAAACCCAACTTCGTGAAGTTAAGCCGCTCCATACGCATGCTTGTTGAGGAATGTCCATGAGCAAGCGCATCATGTTAAGCATGTATGCTTCTGCCCTCAAATTTTACACGTTCTGTTTTTTGCTGAATGCCTGGCAGGAGTAGGTGGAAGCGATTGAAAGATTACGCAGGCGTCCGGAAAGCATCAGGCCCAAATTTGCAAGCATTGTCGGGCGCTCGCAAACGTTCCGCTCAGCTTGCCACTCTTTTGGGCAGAAGAGTGATGGGCTCCAGGGTTCGACAGTCTACCCACGCATTTTTGTCCAATCCATCCGCTTGCATGCCGCCTTCGTGTCACACGCCGAGATACGCGTCGACTATGGTGATGCCAGCCACAGACCAATGAGATGCGAAATGTACATACACGGGGTGCTCCTGGTCCGCAGTCGCTTGTTTGCCTTTATCTCCTTAAGCGCGGCTCCTACCCGTTTTGCTCAGCCCGCGACAGAAGGCAGCTATCGAGGGACGGAAGGACAGCAGCAGGGTACCTTGGCGAGGAAATTGCAGATGTGCAGCGCTTCGCGGGATTGCTGATTTTGCTTTGCTTTGGGTTGGGCCTTGGCCAAACTGTGTTTTTGCCACGGCCACCTCAACTTGGGGACTGCAAAGTAAGCAAACAAAGTCGCGAAAAATGGAAAACCTCAGGAATACCCACTCGGTCCACCACCATTTGGATTTGATTGCAGCTACAAGCCTTGACAATTTGTTTCACGGGGACCAGAGGGTGCATCAAATCAGTGGCAGCTTTTTTTGCAAAGCTGGTTGTTATGTCCGCCAGATGGGCAGTGTTGCTGAAACTGGAAGTAAATTTTCAAAAATGAAGGTACATCCTGCTGCAGTTGCCAATGCTGTTGCTGCGGGGCTTTTGCTGCTGCTACTACTAGTCTTTCTACAAATGTCGCGGCTGCTGCTGCTGCTGCTGCTGCAGCCATTGCTGCTACTGCTACTGCTACTGCTGCTGCTGCTTCTGCTGCTGCTACTGTTCCAGCTGCCACTCTTACCGCTGCCACTGCATATATCGCTGCCAGTGCTGCTACTTGCTGCTACTTGCTGCTGCTGCTGCTGCTGCTGCTGCTGCTGCTGCTGCTGCTACGCTACTGCGGTTCCTGATTTTCCTTGTGTTCGTGCTGCTGCGGCTGCCGCGGCTGCTGCTCCCGCTGCTACCGTTGCTCTGTTGCTCTTGCTGCCGCTGCTGCTGCCTTTGCTGCTGCCGCTGTTGTTACCGTTGCCTCTGCTGCTGCCGCCACCTTGCGTTTCATACTGGCAGGCGGCAAACCAGCTTTGCATCACGCAAGCTCGAAGCGGTAGCGGGGTAATGGATTACATCGCTCTTGTTGCCCTGGTGACCCTCTTGGCTTCCAAGGTTGTTTAATATGGCAAACTACGTGACGTTGTGAATGAGCTGATCAATCGCCTGTTTATGTGTTTGATACATATGATACATCTGATTAGAACCACAAATCATGGCCGACTGGACGCTGTGAAGGGGCCGGCCTCGGGCGTACTACGTTGCCCACGGCGTCTCCTCAGTGAGGTGTGGATGTGCATTTCTGCACGCTCGGCGGTTGGGTTGCCATGGCTGATGCAGCATCAGGCGGCGTGGATGGTGGCACTGCGCCACCGGCGTGTATGGCAGGGGCGACTTGCGTTGCCGGAGAAATCGCGGGTGGCGGCTCAGCGTGCGCTGCCACGGGGGCACGGGTTGAGGCAGGCACCATTGTGGGCAGCTGGCAGATTGCGCTCCAGTGAAGGGGTCATATTTCACGGTCATGTTCTCATTGGGGGTGCCGGCTTGTACTGGAGTCAACACGTCGCCGAGCTGGCGCAACCCATACAGACCCAATTGGGTTGCCAAACCGCAGTGCCCGCCTCATGTGTTAATGCAACGATTTGCCGCTGGCCCCAAAGCATTCCGAGATAGTTTGCGGACAATACTTTCGCCAAACTCCATGCTGCGATCCAGACGCCGTGTTGCTCGCACATGTCCCGAAGCGCCGCCACAAGTGGCAGGGATTTGGTACGCACTGGTGCATGCCACACGGCTGCACGTGGATCGTTCCACCACCCATGGCCGCGAGGTGGAAGCTGTTCAGGCACACGCAGCGCACCCCATCGTCCGGAGACGGCGCCGGGCGTGACCTCGCCTGGGATCAGCCGAGATGCAGGTGCTGGAGAACATGATGCGGGGCGAAAGCGAGTCTGCCCGCAAACGCTGCGACATGACATGCGGAGGATCGCGGAGGGGCTCTGGATAATACACCCGTGCGTTATCGTGAACTGAACGTGGCACAGCTGTCGGCGAGCTGTTCGGTGCATATTCCTTTGGGTCTGCCTGGTAGCTGGCGCCGCGACAGCTTTGGCAACCTTTGGCACAAGCTGGGAGCAAGTAGTTGTCGCCGTGGCCTGACATGCAAACAGGCTTGGCTACTTGGACCTCGGGCCGTCCACTTGCCAGCATCCGGGTGGTTTAAAAAATCTCCTAATTTCAATGCAGTTCAGCCAAAAACAATTGCGTACAAAACTGTGTGGGGGATTTGCGTGGGTCAGCCCAAGCCATGCGCACCTTCCCCATGTGCCATCGCGACATTGTCCCAGACAAAACTGAACCTGACGCCGAGTTTCGGTGGCCAATCTGTGCGCATGCCTTGCATCTGGGCTGTGCCGTGCGCATGGCTGTCAACATCTCGCTGCAAGTTCTGGTTTGTCTTTCTTGTCGAACGGCTTGGCCGCCCTCCACTGCAGACGTCCTACTTGCTGCCTGTCGTGGGCATTCTGCGCCATTCCCTGCTCTTGCGCTCGACCGTGATACAAAACCGCGTGGCAATCCCACCAGCACCCCCGCGCAAAACCCGCCGCTCTGTACTTGACCAATCCCCATGAAACGGCAACCAGTGTTTTACAGTCGCCATGAACAGTTCTTCAAGCGCTGCGTCTTCATAACATGCATCCGAAGATACGAGCCTGCCAAAATCCTGGAGGAATTCCTTGCTGTAAACTGTAACCTTGTAAGGGGTTCTATAGTATTTTCCGCTGGTCCACAAGGATTATGGAAGGGAAAAACTAGATAAGGCTTCCGAGGCCCTGGTGGAAAATAGGGAATTTTGTAAGATTTTTGGGAATTCCATAAGGTTCAATGGGAATGCCGTAGGTTAAGGTTAGGAAACCATAGTTTTTCGGTAGCCGATCGGCCCGGGTATTACAGACCGCAAAAATCGTACCAAAATCCAAGAATTTTCTGCAACAAATCCGTTCTAGCGACCAGACTTCCATCCCAGAATTGCAAGCCACCGGGCAGCTTACGCTTCGCCAGCAATGTAAGATATGCAAGTTCATCGCACAGGAACTGCGTTGATCGCGCTGCCAGCACCTGTACACTTGGCGTGGGCCCACCCACCCACCCACCCGCCCACCCACCCACCCTCCCACCCGCCACCCATCCACCCGCCCTGGCTCTTATGCCTACATGACTCGGGGGGAGACACATCCCACAAGCTCAAACACTCTGGTTTGTGACCGTTCGCATCATGCGCACTGCTTGAAATGCATAAAGGGCAGTTGGCACGTCAACGGAAACCTTGGTCTATGGGACTATCCTTTGCCGCCGCCACCCCCTGTCACCCCCGAAGCACCAATTTCATGGCACCAGCGTCGCGATGATCAGCAGGCTTTGCACACAACTTTGAACAC